TTTCTTTCTTCTTCTTTTTTTAATGAAATCAGGAAAAGAAAAACAGAAAACTAAAGTGCAATCTGTGCAGTTTCAGTTCTTGCTCAACAGAATGCACTACAACACTCCCAAAAGAGAATACTAGTCCAAAAAACAACTAGAAAGAGATATCATCTCTCACTACAAAAGCAATACCAGCTGTTCTAAGTTTTTAACTGTCAATATGAGAGTTAAATATCTTATTTTCACCTTAAATATTATTATTTTTTATAATTATTAAATATTATTATTTTTCATAGTCAATGTCTTCTAAAATTTTTACTTTCAATCCACATCCTATAAAATTTAGAATTTACAAAAAAACTCAAATATTAACAATCAAACCTTTTATTTGTATCTTAATTTACATGCAACTGAATTGTTAATTTTGAATTTTTCACAAGTTTTAAATTATAAAAAAATATTGGCTAATAATAAAAATCTTAAAAAGTATTAACCATAAAAAGTAACAATATCCAATAATATCCCCCGTACAAATAGAGAATTTGGCCAATATGAATTAAAGGTGTATGCAGTGGTGCAGGTGACCATGTCATAAGATAAGAAATACAAATACATCAGCCCCGTTGCCTTCAAATGGACAGGAAGGAATCACCGTGCTCTATTATTGCCTCACCGTGCTCTATTATTATTATTTTTTCACTATTTTCAGTACATGTCCCCTATAAATTGTGAAGGTAAACTTCGTCTAGATAGTTCCACCCAAAAAAGAAAAAATTGCTTCGTCCGGACAGAACACAAAAACCTTCTACTAATGGGAAAGAAATGGGTATGATGAACCCCGATTGTCAAGCCACCAACCATTGACGGTGAAGCCCCAAGGAGCAGGGCAGGGAACCCTAACCCACATGTCCCACACCTCACTATCAATAACCATTTCTCTTCTGACTACAACCACCCACCCACCCACTGTCGTACTGGGTGACTCTATGGCATCAAACAATCCTCGTTAAGCCCCCACTGAAGGCGAAGGGTAGGGATTTCCCCTTCTCTTTGAGAAAGATCCACATTCACACCCCACCCCATACCTTTTTTTTTTTTGGCCACAATATCCACATTCCTTATTCAACTAAAAAAACCTCGCACTTCAGCTTCCCAATAGAGATAGAAACAATCTAAGAACATTAACCACTTTAAACCAATCCCCAACCCACCAACCCCAAAAATTGGACCACCGCATCACACATCATCACACATCGCCAGCCATTTACTAAATCCACAAGATCATAATCAAAAGAGAAGAAATGAATGTGCAAAAAAAAAAATTAAAGGTATTGAAATAATAAGACTTAAATCAGTTTTACATCATTCAGAAGACAATTGATACCTATTCCTGATGCCAAGCCAAGATGGCACGATGGTGCATTCCAAAATCATTCGCACCATCATCTATAAAACCTCAAAAAAGAATGACTCTCTTCTTCCACTTCCCACTGCATTCTTTCTTCAACCACAGTTTAATTCATTCATCAAAGGAACATAACATCAAAAGAGATACAGAGCCCTTGTTTCTATGGACCGAAACATATTACTTGCTTCTCCTTAGTAAAAGATGAAACAACAGTAAAGGATGATCCTAAAAACAATGTAAAAGTAAGGAAGAAAAAGACCTGCACCTGGACTGAGATTTTTAAAATACAGCCCAGAGAGAGGCTTCTTCATCTTTCCCATAGATGCCGCTGTAAACAATAAATGGTGCTGTAAAAAAATTGAATGAAATTCCTTGGAGCATCCCAGTTCCCACCTACTCAGAACTGTCCTCACTTCTCAATTCTACTTCACATGCCAAAACCCCACAGAAATATGTACCTTCAGAAATATGTTTTTAACTATTCTGGATTGAGTAAAAATGAATTCAAATTTCCCTAGACTACAAGCTGATCAAGCTGCATTTGCTCAAGCCAAGCTCCAATAACAGAATGATCAACAGAATCGATTTGAGAATTAGTCTTATTCAAACCCTCACCGGATGATGTCCCAGCTGGAACAGAAACCGCCAACTTCTCTTTCAGCATCTCAGGTGGGGATTCTTTAACAAGTGACTGGACCCACGATAAATCTGGCTCCTCACCATTGTTTCCAAGCTCAAATGAAGAAGACCTTTGCAATTGACCCATTTCATTTCCCTTCACACACCAATCCAACTTCCCATTTGGGGATCCCCACTTTGACCATGAAGAATTCACTGGAGATCCAACAACAGAAACAGGAATGTTACCTCCAAGTTCCCTTGAGCTGAGACTGTGTAGTTGTTGCTGCTGCTTCTCACGCTGGCCAAGCACAGAAAGTCTAGCACCCATTGGGGAGATTGGCTCAGTACTTCTTGGGGACATCCTTCCAGGAGATCCAACACCAAATGGAGACTGCAAAAGAGGATGCTCCATATTTTTTGGTGAGAAAACAGTAGTATTAATGGGTGATAACATGCTCTGCTGCTGTTGGAATTGATTGAGAACAGCTGATTTGTGGGTTGGGGAGAAAACTGAAGCAGCTGCCTGATCAGCAAATCTAGGAGATAAAGAGATTTCAGCAGAAAACAGCTCATCAAGGTTTGAAGGAGTTAGTGTTTTAGACCTTGCAGAACGACTCAGAAATGCCGAATTATTGCGTGACTGAGAAAAACAGGTCAAGTCATTTAAAATCTGCTGCTGTGCATCAAAATCGGGCAACATGTCAAAATCCTCAGGAGGGATGTCTCGGGCACTAAGAGAAGACCTCAAACGACTTGATTGAAGGTTACTTCCAGGAAGATGAAGTGTTGGAACATTTGGCTGGGGCCATGCTGCTGATGAATGTGAGAGGCTGTTTGCCGATGGAGACATCTGCTGATTAAACGGAGAAGGAGACATGGCAGACAATGATGATGGAGAACTAGGCAAAAGGCTCATTGCAGCAGCCATGTCCATGACGCTAGCAGCAGATGCAGATGAACGTGGTGAAGGAACAGCAGATCCAGTAGAGACATACAATGGGCGGAGCTCCTCAGCTGTGTGGGCGAAAAAGCAAACCCGCCGATTGCAACTTGTTCCATCCTTACAGAGCCGGGTCCGATATTGTGCAGGATGGAGCCAACACTCAAAAACCCCATGGGCGTATTCACACATATCCCCCCGTCTACAAGCCCCCTTACGAAAATCAGGGCAAGGCACACAGCTGTAGTGGTACTTGCGTGGATCCCTTCGGCGAGCATTCTCTCCTGGGTGAACAAATGGACACTCAGTCCAATCATGGGAGTACGCTCTTGAGCAAGGACGGATCTTAAATGAAAACATGCGAAATTCATCTGTCGCATAAATGCTGTTCTTGATATCAGGGAGAGATGGGTCTATCGGGTATTCTTTCTTTTCAGTTGCTGAGCTAACATTTCCTTCATTGAACTTCGAGGCCAGTGGAGAAGCAGCAAGTTCCGAGGGAGAAGGTGGCGACCCATTCTCGAGTGATGATGAAAGGGTTGGTGAGCTGGAACTGGACACGCTAACAGACATCTGTAAATTGTGCTCCCTAACAGAGCCATCAGAAGTATTTCCACAGAGAAGCCCTTCAAGAGTGGATCTCCGGCTTTTAAGCTTTGGATGTAGAACCAACACATCAGCAGGACGCCGGCCACTTGCATCAGTAACATTTGGGTCAGCACCAGCTGATAAGAGGAGCATAACAACATCAACCACATTAAGGGAACCACCCGATGCAGCACAGTGAAGGGCAGTACTTTTGTCGGCACCACAAGATAAATTCACATCAGCCCCTGAGTGAGCAAGTATAAGCTCAACAACACCAAGACTACCATAGGTAGCAGCAACCATTAATGGAGTTCTGTGCTTTGCAACTACTTGCTTTGAGCCATTTTGGCGGGTATACCAAAGTCCAACCTCATCAAGTGAAGAAGCATCCTGCTCAATCAATTGCCGAATACCCTCGACATCATTGTTAGAAGCAAGCTCAAGAAGGCAGGAAAAAGAATCTTGGTTTTTCACAGTTTGGGGATCCATTTCTATGCCGTTAGGTGTGGTTTCCATGGTAGACGGTGATGAAGTTGAGTCAGATTTTGACCGATCTGGACCACTGCACATGCTTGAGTTAACTGGATACCAAGAACCAAAGAAAACAAAACCAGAATTAACAGAAAATAAGAAAAACAACCCATCTATTCAAAAATGGAAGTTTCAAATAGATATGATTGCCGCATGTTGGAATTTGTCTATCTCAATAACAAACAGAATTCACAAGGAAATAGAAGGTGCATACACCACATCAACGAATACAAAGGATAGGCAACATACAAGGCAAACACTTTTAACACTTAAGAAAGTTCAGAGTACAACAAAAAATGACAACAGATGCACAATACCTAACCAAACCAATGCCTTAAAAAATAGAGAGATAATGAGAAACAACCCAAAAGCCTCAACCATATTACTGACTACCACCAAGAATCTTGAATTATGTCACATGGCAGATCTGGTCATAATCTAAAATCAAATTAAGAAGATTACACACGTTATTCTTCAGAAATGAAAACAATTTTTTTTTCTTTTTTGAAAAAGAAAGAGAGAGAGAGAGAGAGAGAGAGAGAGAGAGAGAGGAAAGAAACAAGGATACTTATTCTGAAGACAGTACTTTATATCACGAATATGAAGAATCAGAAGCTGAAAATATAAAAACGTAAAACCATTTACAGATGCAAAAGGACAAACAGCAAGTAAAAATTTAAACTTGTTTGGCCCAAAGAATCTATCAGCAAGAAAAAGGAAGAATAAGATCAAAAGAGATTTTGTGCAGGTTGATAAGTGGCTATGGGTACATATTCACCTAAAATAAGAGATTTGACAGCCTGCATTAATCACAAAATAGGACAAAAAAATATTGCATTTTCTTAAATTCGAAATAGAACTAAAAAATCAAAATACACCCTAAAAAATAAAAGAGGTAGAACAAAAGAACAATATTTAAAGGTTATTTTGCCTGGCTTTTTCAACAAGAAAATCAAAAGATAATCATCTAATACCCTTAAAAATCTCCAATCTTTGAGAGAATAAAAGTCATGCAAACCACCACTAAGATCACTGCACAGGCAACAAACTACATCCACTAAAAAAAATTTAAAAAAAATTAAAATTCGCTCAAAGTCTAAAAAAGGAAATAAATACTTGATCAAAAATTTTCAAACTTTTACTTCACTTATCCCAATTTAAACAAACAAATCTAAACAACTAAGCAGCTGATCGCCATACATACTCATTAAACATTCGACATCTAACTTGCAAATCATCAAAACATTTCTAGAACGATAAACAGAAACTCACCGATCAGATTCAAGTCGGAGCAACGAAGAAGCTTAACCGGAGATGATGAACTGAAACAGATCTAGAGACGGAGATACAATTAACCAGAACAGACATTTGAATCTTGCTCAGGGATTCAAAAAGTAGAGATACCGAAGGGAGCTATAACAGTCTCTGTTAAACAAGAAAAGAATCTCATCATCATCATCATCATCATCGCCATCAATTCGATGAAACCAAAGAGAGGATTTTTATGTGTTTTTTTTTTAGAGAAAGTAGCAAAAGAACAGTAACGTCTAGAAATTAAAATTAAAATTGGGATGAAATGAAGAGGAAATGCAAATTTGTGTTTTGAATTTTTGGAGTTAAAAGAAAAAAAAGAAAAATAAAAAAGAGTTAAAGGCCCGGTAGTCTTGGGGGAGACGAGATGGAGGTTGGAAATTAAATGAAATGACATTGAAATGCACAACAAATGGAAGTTGAAATGAGAGTCAAATTGTATGCTAAGAAAAAGGAAGGCAGTGGCAACCGGCTGGACCGGTTGAACTTGGGCAAAATGATGACGTGACGTGTGTGGAAATTTAAGTTGTACATTGTTATCAAAGAATATAAAATCAATTTAAGAAGATTGTATTTTTCATTGATAATGAAATAAAAAGATTATTTTTGTAAATAAAATATAAAAAATTTTAATTAAATATTATAAATATGTTTTCATGGTAATTTCTTGTTTTAAAAATTAAATTTTATAATATACATTTCAATTATACAACAATAGAGTTGAGGTTAAAGATATGCAACAAAAAAAAAAAAGGGTTTGTCAGATGA